CACACTTGTGGCAAAAGTTTGGCAAGAAAATGAGTATATGACATGTGCGACATGGTTTCAAAAAAGTGTGGTACGCCGTAATTGTGGCAGCAAACCAAACAGATGCACAAAAAAAACCATGACATGACTAACTTGTGGCGTGACACGTTGTGGTCATGAACCAATCAGATAAGGTATACAAGGCCGAGCGATGGAACTAAATACACCCAGAGGTATCCTGTCCAAAGAGCGAGGGAATTAAATGCGCCTAATCCATAAAAAAAGCAGGGATGATACCATCCCATGTCATCTTATGCCTAAATAAACTTATATCTCCCATATATAGCATTGTGCATATAGCTCTGATCGTACCTTTCCATGGGTTAGTTTAGAGTTGACTTCAAATTCGTCCAACATGTCAGAGATGTCCAAGGCGGCATTCTTGAGGCGCTTCAAGAGGTGTTTGGTTCTTCAGTCGCTCCTAAAATTCATGTCACATCGAATGTTTAGATACCAATAAGGAGCATTAAATACAGATTAATTACAAAACCAATTACATAGATGAAGGCTAATTTGCGAGGTGATTTTTTAAGCCTAATTAATCTGTCATTAGTATATGTTTACTGTAGCATCACGTTGTCAAATCATGGCCTAAGTAGGCTTAAAAGGTTCGTCTCGCAAATTAGTCGTAAGTTGTACAATTAGTTTCGTAATTAGTCTATATTTAATACTCCATGCATGTATCCAAACATTCGATATGACAGGAATTTTAGAAGCGACTGTAGAAACCAAACAGGGCCTCAGCCACAGGCGCACTGAATCCTCCCTAATTGACCTCCTCTCGGCGTACTTGAGCACTGCCGCCATGGATTCCAAGGTGTCCTTCATGTCCTCCAGGTCGCGGCTGAAGTTCCACACCAAATTGGCTTGCTGTCCGATGGTGGAACCCAGCTTATCGCCCACGATCTTCACTAAAGCTGACGTGAGTAGTCCCGCTACTCCCGCCATGGCTGCACAGCTCTGAATCGCCCCCAGTCCCTGGGTGCCCCTGTGAGAAGAGCTGAATAGCAATAATGAGCTCGAGCCGCTGCTGTTCTTCAACACCTGGGAGTGATTGCTCACCGTATCTGGACTCTGGTGAGCTCCCTGAAAAAAATCAGAAAATGTACAAAACAAACAAAGTGCAAGGAGATTAGCAACCTCAAGTAAAGGATAACGCTGCGTCTTTGGTCGAAACACCCGTCACTACTTACAAACACAAGCTGGAAGAATCTCAACACCAGTCTATACTCTATAATCTTTGAAAACTCTTACAAACAAATTAATCTGCATATATTACAGAAGAATGGCCAACAACAGAACCCACTCAAAAGGAGATCTCCCAATCCGCAGAAGATTACCAGGTGCTAGGTGAAGAGCTTTGAATCAGCTCGGACAGGAAACGAGAGGGCGTCCCGCGTCCGTGCAGCCTTCGGGTTCGCGAGGAGCTCCGGCAATAAGGCACCGATCGGCAAGGCTTGTTGACCTAACATTCCATAATACATGGAACAGGATGGGTGGGGTGGGTTACAGCTCACTCCGAAAGGCGCTGCTTGATAACATGCCGACATCACGACATGCCATGTTGCTCTAGTCACGCCTCACGCGCTCACGGCCTCATGGCCATTGACTTTGACTCCACAGCATGCGACAAATTAATAATGTAATGATTTTAACATTTATAATTTTAAAACAAGCAATAATAATATATATCAACAATAAAGTAGCAGTAATAGTGCATTTGTGCTTACTATTTCTCAAAATATAGTTAGAGAATCCCACAGTTATTACAAACAAAAGATTGTAAATGTCAATAAACCAAGTGCGTATTCACCGATCCGGTTACTAAGAGATGTTTCACAATCTTTATCTCCGAAAATATTCTCTCCACTGTTGCAGTAGTAATTGGCAATACCAGCACAAGTTATAAATATCGATAAACCAATGGATAACAATGATCTTTTCTTGTGTCCACCATTTTTTGTGAAAGCTCACTGATAGTGTTTATGTTGGAGAATTGATTATCTTCTCTCACATCAGCAATGTAGAGGCCAAGGTGGTGGCTAAGATCCCTCAAATCTTTAGAGTTATAATCACTAGGATGTAATGTTGCTAGGTTTATCAAACTCTCTACATTAAAATCATGAAATGATTATCTTGGATTGAAAGCGACTGAACAAACAAGCAACCGAGAGCTTGTCACATTAAAGCGACTATAAAGCTCCTGAACTAGCCACTTTATAACCTCATTAAAACAATCCGCTTTATAGTGATGCTTGTTTGTAATTCTAGATGCCTTCCTAGATTTTGTGGGATCCATATATGCATCTGCCATTTCTAACCTTGCAATATCATGCATCTCACAATACTTGTTTACTTCATCTAATATTTTGCCCCAACCATCTCTTCTAAGGTTACACATATGTAATCTAGATGATTTCAAACGCTTATCATAGCATTCACAATGTCTTGATCCTTGCATTGCAATGCTAATGACAAAGTGTTTATGATGGTTAATGTGGTCAATAAGAGATGCAGGTAAAATACAAAGTCAAAAGATTGGAAGTAGACTAGAAGATTTGATGCTTGGTCTCTATCTTTCCAATCTCTGTCGTCCTTGTCCTTTTCCACCGGCCTCCCAACCAGCCAAGCCGGTTCCTTCAGGGGGACGGCCAGGGCTTCAGCAAGGCATGTAGTAGAAGTCAGCCGGCCTGGCCGGTCAGCAAGGGGAGCGGCCACAACAACCAGCCACCCTAGTCGGTCCACTAGGGGCGCAACAGCGGTAGCCAGCTAGCCATGTTGGTTCCATGGCTGGCTAGGCCGGTTTAAGGGGAGGCCGGCCTGGCTGGATTGAGGACTAGCCAGGTCGGTTTGGTAGGGTCTTGATGTCCCCTTTTTCCCCCTTCTTTTCTCCTCCGGATACTTGCACAACGTTGCAAATATACTTGACTTTTGTTACTATATTATCACCAGAAACATTGTTCGAATGCCATCATATGTCTTCAGTCATTTTTTTATCATCAACATATGTCCCCATGTTTTTAGGTGAAGCATTAGATGAACCTGAAACATAAAAAAAACTAAATAGCAACGATGTCCAACTCATCGGCTACCTAGCGACTAAGGGCGATGTAAACATCGGCCATATTTGTTCTAAGGGCGATAGATGTATCGGTCATTGCCTAAATAGTTTTCAAGCTTCTTGCCAGACACTTGGAAAGTATTGTTTCAAATACCTCCCATTAATTGCTCTTGGTAGACACTCACCTTGCAAGGTCTCCAGCACATATGAATTTCCAAACACCACTTTGATCACTTTTAATAGACCCACCCAGCTAGGTAACCACTTGCCAAACTTGTTACTTTTCACCCCAAGAGGTAGAATAGTTTTCCATACTAAATCTCCAACTTGAAAAGATTTGTTTTTCACTTTCTTGTTATAAGCTCTCACAACTTGTTGCTTTCTTGTTATAAGCTCTCACAACTTGGAAAGATTTCAAACTTGTGGCTTTCTTGTTATGGGCTTCACAGAGGAAGAGTTCAGGGTATGAGAGTTGTGCCAAGGAGGCCGTGAAACTGAATCAACACCCATTGCATACAAGTATATATGAGCTTGGCAAAGATTTGGTGGACCCAAAAGAGCTCCATAACTTGTCGACAAGAATGCATGATTTGCACGATTGGTACAATTGGTAGAGCAATGTGGGTCAAACTATGTTCAGGGCTAGAGTCTCACCTGAGTTATATCATAGAGGTGAAGATACACCGTGGGTTGGTCCAAATACCTCTTTCATGCTTTCTAGAAGTGCGGCCGCCTCGTCGTTAAAATATGAGCTGAGCTTGTGGACCATGGTGATTGGGGTTTAGAATTGACGTTGGAAATATATGTATAGCAGTGATGGGAAATAAAAAAACTAGATATGATATTTTCTAAATATAATTTAAAGAAGGTTAAATATTTAAACAAAATCTGTTGATTAGTTTGATTTGCCTTTAATGTGGATGCATGCATCAATCTTTTCTTCGTCATCAAGTTCAGCAAGCTAGTGTGGTGGTGCAGGACCATATGGGGAGGTGCCTGATGTGCAATTGTCAGTCTTTTCATTGTATCACTTCGCTGGAGGTTTTGTAGCAGCACTGGCTCTTTGATGTGCTATGCTTTTTCACTGCAGGTTTAGGTTCCCGCAAGGCGATCTTGCTGAATGATTGCTTGATGATGATCTGAAAAGTGGATGCTTCCGATTCGATTACCGGTGATATTGTTGCTTATATGTCAAGTTTTTGGCAAGCAACTTTAATTTGTTTCGTTCTCTTTTCCTAAGACGTGGCGTGACTGAGATGTGGCACATCTATCGGCCAGAGCGAGTGAGTGCGTTGCTTAATTACTTCAACCATCCAGCAGTGTGTTCCTGTTTGCATATAGGATGTTCTAAACTCCAAATGTTTGTGTTAATGAATGAAGGCAGCCTTGATTTTTTTGGGAAAAAAAAAACACTACAATCGTAGTCAGTTCAGAACAGTGGGGCATCGAGGCATGCAGAGTGCGTCCAGGAAACCGCATTGGGTTAGCCAATTCTAGTCTAGAAACAAAAAAGATCCATGCCATGTGTGTCTCACTGTCTGTCTCTAGAGTAAAATCAAGTCCAAGCTGTAGCAGTAACTATCACTGCTGTTACAAAACCACAAGCGGCCAAGCGCATTGTTGCAGATCCCAACGATCCGGAGCTATGCACCAAAGAGGCTCCTGCAAAACCAAGGCCAGCGGAAACATCACTTCCAATGCTGCAAATACCAGACAAAACACCCCATTTTTGGCTGTGTTCGGCCGCGACCAACACCACCACATAGCAGACTCAGAAACCTCCTTGTTCGCAGGGAAAGCAAGGTAGCACCAATATAATTATAATATATATAATAACCCCTATAAGATCAGAGCATACTAGCAGAGCAACAGCTGCAGCGCAGGCTAAGCTAGCACAAGCATGCATCGCCAGCAGCAGCAGCAGCACGAGGTGACGGCGGGCGCTCGGAGGCACGGCCGGGAGCATGCCAACGGAGGCCACAGAGCGGCGGCCGAGATGCCGGCTGGCGGTCACCGCGCGGAGCGGGCAGAGAGGCCAGCCGGGCACCGCGTGGAGCGGGCCGAGATGCCGGCCGGCGGCCACCGCGCGGAGCGGGCAGAGAGGCCAGCCGCGCACCGCATGGAGCGGGCCGAGATGCCAGCCGGCGGCGGTCACCGCGCGGAGCGGGCAGAGAGGCCAGTTGGGCACCGCATGGAGCGGGCCGAGATGCCGGCCGACGGTCACCGCGCGGAGCGGGCAGAGAGGCCAGTCGGGCACCGCATGGAGCGGGCCGAGATGCAGCATGCCACCCACCACGCCACGGAACGGGCGGGCGACGCTCGGAGGACTACGACTACAGCTGCGGCTGAGATGCCCGCGTGGCAGACGACGGAGCGAAAGAAGAGCCTCGAGAGCCTCCTCGATGCCGCGGGGGACGCGCGCGGCAGGCAGCAGCAGCAGCACCACCACCACCACCGCGGCGGCGGCGGTGGCCAAGTCCCCGTACGGCCGCCAGTGCCGGTCCCTGGGGAGAAGGTGATCAACTTCCCCGGGCAGGGGCTGGAGTTCAAGGAGCTGTCCTACAGCGTCATCAAGAAGCAGAAGAAGGACGGGGTGAAGGTCAAGAATGAGGTGTACCTGCTCAACGACATCTCCGGCCAGGCGCTCCGCGGCCAGGTCACCGCCATCCTTGGGCCCAGCGGCGCCGGCAAGTCCACGTTCCTCGACGCGCTCGCTGGCAGGATCGCCAAGGGAAGCCTCGAGGGGTCCGTCAGCATCGACGGGCGATCGGTAAGAGCAACATCGTCACAGTGATGTTCTGTTGCATTGCGTGTTGTATTGAGGACAAAAGAAGGTTTCTGATGATGATCATTCATCCAGGTGACGACGAGCTACATGAAGCAGATTTCATCCTACGTGATGCAAGATGATCAGCTGTTCCCCATGCTCACGGTGTTGGAGACGCTGAGGTTTGCGGCCGAGGTCCGCCTGCCTCCGTCGCTCTCCAGGGCTGAGAAGCTCAATCGGGTCTGGGAGCTCATTGAGCAGCTGGGTTTACAGGTTAACCCCTTTTGTCCTCTGCTCCACTAGCATCCGTTTCCTTTTTTTTTTCTCCAAAAAAAGAGATTAATTGTACAGTAGCATTTGGTACGTTGTCCACTCAAACTAAAGACGTCCCATATGGCATGACTAGTTCAGAAATTACACAACATCATATTTTTCATCGTACAGTACAATTGACAATATGCAGTCAAACTGATGAATTGTCACTATGGACTTCATATAGTGCCCATTACCTGTCCAAATGTGATCAATAACACCTCAACAATATAATTCCATTTGTTTCCCTGCTGTAATTTCACTTGATGGTATCATTCACAATCTTGATTAAGTTCTGAATGTCAAAATAACAGACAACAGCTCACACATACATTGGCGACGAGGGGATACGAGGTGTCTCTGGCGGGGAACGCCGTAGGGTGTCGATTGGCACTGACATAATCCATAAGCCATCTCTGCTGTTTCTTGATGAACCCACCTCTGGTCTTGACTCCACCAGTGCATACAGTGTGGTAGATAAAGTGAAAGAAATTGCAAAGGGGGGAAGCATTGTGCTAATGACAATTCACCAGCCATCTTTCAGGATTCAGATGCTTCTCGACAGAATAGTCATCCTCGCAAGGTAATTACAGACAGAAGCCTTTACTTTGAGGAAAACTAAATTTCTGAAAGGACATTTAATTACTCATCAGTTGTGTAGGCACTTCTTATGACATTCTAATTAACTACCTGCTACACTTCATGCATGCAGAGGAAGGCTAATCTATCTAGGAAGTCCTATCACACTCCCCGCACATCTTGCTGGATTTGGCCGACCTGTACCTGATGGTGAGAACAGCATCGAGTACCTCCTGGATGTCATCAAGGAGTACGATGAATCAACGCTTGGACTCGAGCCTCTAGTTGCCTACCAGAGGGATGGCAGCAAACCTGATGAAGCTGCCAAGACACCAATACCCAAGACACCAAGAACACCACACCAGAAATCAGTGCAGTTCCGACAGATGCAGCTCAAGAGCAACCAGTTTTCGGTCACAACCGGAACACCTCATGCTAATACTTTCTCAAACTTCGAGTCCTATAACATCGATGACGAGGAGGAAGAATTCGACAATTCTCTTGAGAGAAAGTCACATACACCCTTGCATACCGGAACCTCAACCTACCATCCAAGGCTTGCATCACAGTTTTACAAGGATTTCTCAGTCTGGGTTTACCACGGTGTCACAGGGACGCCCCACCGTAAGCCTACATGGAGTACTCCTGCTCGAACGCCAGCTAGGACCCCAATGTCGAGGCTACCAGCAGCGCAGCCGTTTGGCTACGCCACACCATACACCTCCTCCTCAATCACCCCATGAACCAGTTTTCAAGCCGGAGGAACCAAGCTATCATGAGTACCAGCTTGAACTGGAACCACCACTAGATGCTCCTCAGGATGGCCCCAAGTTTGCTAATCCTTGGCTCAGGGAGGTCGCTGTGCTCTCATGGCGTACTGCTCTGAACGTGGTGCGCACGCCGGAGCTATTCCTCTCCCGGGAGATTGTCCTCACAGTTATGGCACTCATTCTTTCGACCCTGTTCCACCGCCTCAGTGATTCCAACTTCACAACCATCAATCGCCTCCTCAACTTCTACATCTTTGCAGTCTGCCTTGTCTTCTTCTCCTCCAATGATGCTGTTCCCACATTCATCCAGGAGCGCTTTATCTTCATCCGTGAGAGGTCCCTGAATGCTTACCGTGCATCATCCTACGTGATATCCTCTCTAATCGTCTATCTCCCATTCTTTGCCATTCAGGGTTCACCTTTGCAGTCATCACAAAGTACATGCTCCATTTACGAAGCAACCTGGTTAACTTTTGGATCATCCTGCTTGCATCACTTATAACAACCAATGCATATGTGATGCTGGTCAGTGCACTTGTTCCAAGCTACATCACTGGATATGCTGTCGTGATTGCGACAACAGCTCTCTTCTTCATCACTTGTGGATTCTTCCTGAAGCGGACGATGATCCCTATGGCATGGAGGTGGCTCCACTATATCTCTGCCATAAAATATCCATTTGAGGCATTGCTTGTGAATGAGTTCAAAGGAGACCATTGCTATGTTGGCACACAAAATCAACTTTCACCTGGACCTCTGGGGCAAGTCAGTAACCTGAATGCCACCTCAGCGACATGCCCCTGGTAGGCCAAGATGTGCTGTCCACCATGGACATACAAATTGATAACATCTGGATAGATGTTGCAATTCTCCTCTGCCTGGGGCGTGCTCTACCGACTCATCTTCTATGTGGTCCTAAGATTCTACTCCAAGAACGAGAGAGAAGGAAGAAACGATGTTTCCAAGAAATATGTATCTAATATCCATATATGGTAGATCTGTTTGCAACAATAGATTTTCTACTCATAAGCTTAATTTGTATTATGGAAAGCTTGTATTAAAAAATTTCTAGTATTTGATTGAATGACAAAAGAGATGAAATTTTTTTCATCAAGGCCAATCTCAATGCATAGTTTCATTTTCTTGTCTCCAAGTATGTCACATCAGTAAATAGGATTTGCTCCATGGTTGAACTATGCAACCTTCTATCTACAATGCATAGTTTCAACTTTTGTGCAAATATGCTCTTTGTAACATATTCATACATGGAAACAATGTCCATCCGGTTTTATCTTGATTGGCCTTTAACTCATTTCATCTCTCTTATTTATTTCTTTGTCATGTCTAGAAATTTGCTTAGGTACCACCTATTAAATGAGAATGAAACTCCCATTTATAGTGGCCTAATTATAATTGAAGCAGATGTCAATGTCATCAATATTAGATTGTTTTGCTCGGACCATCCTCGTTTCTTCCTTCTAAAAGAAGTGGCTATATGCTCTTGTGCGACTCAAGAACATAGAGTTGTTGGAAATTAATCTTGACCTTCAAGTGAGATGGAACATCTATCTGCATTTAGTCCTGCCTATGTTTATTGGTGAGCCCTCTTGGGTGGCTTCTGACGAACTGGATTTGCCCCAGCTAGGTGTTCCATCAGTTCGTGTGCAATGACATAGCAATGGTCTCCCACAACCAGAACTCATTCACAAGCAATGCCTTTCTTATTTTATGGCATGATATCCTTATCAACCTAAATAGGCACCAGTGTCCGCTTCAGGAAGAATCCACAAGCAAGCATTGTTGTTAGAGAGGTGTCCTCGCAATGTGGGACAGCATATCCAGTGACTCAAGAACACGAGAACAAGACATAACGACCAGCATCACATATGCATTGGTTGTTATAAGTGATGCAAGCAGGATGATCCAAAAGTTAACCAGGTTGCTTAAATGGAGCATGTACTTTGTGATGACTGCAAAGGGAACCCCTAATGGCAAAGAATGTGAGATAGACGATTAGAGAGGATATCACGTAGGACCCTGCACGGTAAGCATTGTGGGACCTTCCCACGGATGAAGATAAAGCGCTGGGGATGAATGTGGTGCTCAGCATCATTGGAGGAGAAGAAGACAAGGCAGACTGCAAAGATGTGAAGTTGAGGAGGCGATTGATGGCCCTGTGAAGTTGGAATCCTCCCCTGAGGCGGTGGAACAGGGTCGAAAAGAATGAGTGCCATAACTGTGAGGACAATCTCCTTCGGGAGAGGAATAGCACTTCTATGCGAATAACTTTCATCATAATTTTGGAGCACCACGTTCAGAGCAGTACGCCATGAGAGCACAGCGACCTTATGACAAATTGAGCCAAGGATTAGCAAACTTGGGGCCATCCTGAGGAGCATCTAGTGGTGGTTCCAGTTCAAGCTGGTACTCATGATAGCTTGTTCCTCCGGCTTGAAAAACTGGTTCATGGGGTGATTGAGGAGGAGGTGCATGGTGTGGCGTGCTAGCCAAACGGCTGCGCTGCTGGTAGCTCGACATTGGGGTCCTAGCTGGCGTTCGAGCAGGAGTACTCCATGTAGGCTTACGGTGGGGCGTCCCTGTGACACCGTGGTAAACCCAGACTGAGAAATCCTTGTAAAACTGTGATGCAAGCCTTGGATGGTAGGTTGAGGTGGTGGGTGTTTCTGTTGAAGATGCTTTCCACGTTTACATGCTATAGCCAGTTTCATTGGAGATGGTTCATATATGTGTCATCTTCTTATTAGACAATATGGCCATCTCTGGTTCTTGCATGTTTTACGTTCTTACTGGACCACATGTCAGGTCTCTGTTGTTCCACATGTCAGTTTTCTACTGGCACACATGTCGTATTGTCGTTGGATCACGTGTTACTTCTTCATTGGACCATGTGTCGTATTTTTATTGGTCCACATATCCATTTCTTATTTGACCACGCGTCACGTTGTTGTCCGTCCACGTGTCGTATTTTTATACGTCCAAGTGGCTTGACGATTTCTTTCCACGTGTCGGATTTTTAATAGCCCACGTGTCGTGCTCTGGCCAATTCACGTGTCATGCACTGGATGGTCTCCACTTGTCGCATTTTTATTTGATCACGTGGTCTGTCCTGGTTCTACCGCGTGCACGACAATAATTACATCAGAAAAGTAATTCGAGATCGTCACTACTGCACAGATTGACTACATAATTATTCAACCTGGCAATCAAATACCAATAATTAATATTTCAAACGTCAGCAGCAAGCCACTGACAGAGTATCACCACAACAAACTGTCACATGAGTCCACACAACAGATCACAAATGTTCATCGCATCAAGCCACAGGGGTTGAAGACTGAGAGTTAATTAACAGGAGAGGTTAAGCGCAAGACTTGCTCACAGAGCCTATTGTACTTCTCTTGTTGCCGTTTCTTATGTAAGGGACCATGCCGCCTAAGAGGGGGGGTGAATTAGGCAACTTAAAACTCTAACTCTAAACTAAGCCCTCTAATTCTATCCTTAGTAAAAACATATGCAAAAGATAAACTATCTAAATATGCAACTACGGTTTTGCTAGTGTGTTGCTATCTCTACCGCAAAAAGGAGTTATGCAACCTAGGTTCCAAACCTATCAACTAGCCTATCACTAAGCTAGCAAAGTAAAGCACAAACCAAGATTGCAATGTAAATGCGGAAGCTAAAGAGTAAGGTAGAGATATGCAAACTCCCATCGACGACTTCGGTATTTTTACCGAAGTATCGAGAAGCGCGCAAGCTTCCTCGTAGTCTTCGTTGGATCCCCTCGAAAGGAATCCCTCGCAAGGGCCAAGCTCCCGGTTGGGTAACTCCATGGATAGCCCCGGGCCTTCCCCACGTGCAAGTGGGTCTCCAGTGTGCCTTCCGACAAGCCTCTCCCGAATCGCTTCCCGCCGTCTTCACTATCAAGCTTCCGGCCGAAACACCGCGGGCCTTGTTCCCTTCGGTACACAGTGGCGGTCACACCATAAACACGGTTGGTGTGGTCTTGCAAGACTACAAGCCCTCCAATGTACAACAATGGTGCACACAAGCACCAAGTGGTAAGAGGTATGCAAACCTCACTAAACACTAGGCTTAAACCTAAAGCAAGCACATAAGCGGTGGTCTAATCAACCTAAGCACTTCGCAAAGCACCTACGCTAATCACCTAATGAATCACTAAACACTATGCAAGTGGAGATCACTAAAATGGTGTATCAACATCCTTGGTATGTTTCCTCAGCTCTCCACTGCTCAAATGGCCGGTTGGGGGTCTATTTATAAGTCACATGGAGAAAGTATCTGTTGGGGACGAAACCTAGCTTTCTGCTACTGACCGAACGCTGTTGTCGTCCTGACCGGACGCGTCCGGTCGTCCCGACCGTTGGAGCTCGCGCATTAATCGGACTCTGGTCTGAGTCCAGTCATCATCAACCGGACGTGTCTGATCGCATTTGCGCAGCTTTGGAACCTCTCTGGTCTTGATCGGACGCTGCACTTTGTGCATCCGGTCATCCAGTGTCGCTGTGTCCGGTCCTCACCGAGTTGTTGCCGCGATGATGAACAATGAAGTCCGTGCGTCCGGTCACTGCCTCGCTCAACGTCCGATCATAGCTGCTGACGCCTGCTGTTGCCGAGCAACTGATCGGATGCGTCTGGTCCACATAGGGCCGCGTTCGGTCACCTTTGCCGAGCTCATTTCTTCACGATCTTGCGTCTGGCTTGGTTCCCATCTTCGTGCTTGGACTTTACTTGATATCTTGGGTCCTTTTGTGCTTCTAGGGTCTTGCTTATGGTGTTGATCGTGGGATCATCATGTCGCCTTCGTCCAAGTCACGTCTTGCACCCTATTGAACTACAAAGCAATTACTTACAAATTCATTAGTCCAATTTGGTTGTGTTGGTCATCAAACATCAAAATCCAAAGTAAATGGGCCTAGGGTCTATTTTCCTTAAAATCTCCCCCTTTTTGATGATTGATGACAACACGATCAAAACAAGCAAATAATAAAATTTTGAAATTTAAAAACTATTTACTTGCTAGGATGCAAAGCAAAGGGCAAGGTTATATGATGCTAAAAGATACCACATTTAAGCACATGTAAGCTAAATATACCACATGTAAGCTAATGCATACCACATGTAAACATCTTTGGAAACTTATCTTGCCCTTGCAAATGTCCCCATGTGGCATTGTGGATTTAAGCCTCCCCCTAACTCCATAATCCACTATCCTCTCTTTCTCGGACCATTACCACTTGTAAATTATTACCATTACCACTTGTAAATTATTATGATCGGGCTTGCTTTTGGTCCTACAAATTCCCCCCTTTGGAATCAAACACCAAAAAGGAAGACATTAGTAGCACAAGGGTGGGTCAAACTTTGTGATCCTTTGTATGTGGAGTGGAATAGGTCACAAAATCTGACTCTCACATTACATAGACTAAGCTCCCCCTAAATATATGCATACATATGATGGAGAATGTAGTTTATGCATAATTGGCAAATTAATGCTCAAGGGAGTTTAATTTATATAATGCATGGAGAAAGCATATAAATACCAAAGTGAAATCAACATGAAGATATCGATTTAGAAATACCACATGTGGAAACCAATTTGATTTATACCACTTGCAATAGGTGGTGGATATTTAAAGTATGATGCTTAACTCTGGGGACTCCATTTTCCTTGCAATGAGACTATTACACACATGATAAGCTTGAAAAGGTGTTAGTCTCAACGCATCCAACTTGTAGAGTAACCTCCCCCTAAATTTGTGCACACA